GTCATGCTCTACCTGTCCCACACAGAGCAGGCCCGTGGGGGGGTGGGAGGGTGGGGCGCGCACCTGTCACACACAGAGCAGGGCCGATCAGGGGGTTGGTGTGCTGCACCCTGTCAAACACAGAGCGCAGGGCAATCAGGGGATTGGGGAGCTCCCCCCTATCAGGCACAGAGCAGGGCTGATCAGGGGGTTGGTGCGCCTTCCCCTGTCACGAACAGAGCAGGGTGGATAGGGAGGTTGTGGCCCCGCACCCTGTCACACATAGAGCCGCAGGGCGATCAGGGGGTTTGGGCGCTGCCCCCTGTCACGCTGATCCCGGTGCCGGGAGCCTCGCTGCTCCGCTGATCCCGGTGCTGGGAGGCATATTATCCTTTTACGTTATAGAATAGAGGCCTGGTGCATGGGTAGGGGCCAGCTGGTTTGCCCTGAAGGGTGTCCTGGATCAGGGTGGGGGTCCCCACTGGGGTGCCTGGCCAGTCTGGGTGAGGGGCTGAGGGCTGTTTTCTGGCTGGCGAGTGACTAAAGCTTCCAACTGCTCCTTGTTTTCTTTTCTTTTCTTTTTTTTATTCTGGGCCAGCTTTAGCTCTGAGGCCTCGCTGCTGAAAACATCGATACAAAGTTTCGGTCCAGCTGGCTTTCAGTGAGGCTGGTTTCTGGGGTTTTGTTTAGCTTCTTATTTGCAACATAGTACATAGTTGCTTAGAGTTGCAGCTGAGAGGCCGGCAAGTGAGGCGGGGAACGTTGGAGTCCACAGCAAGCAAGCCTCATGCTCGCTTCAGTGCCTGGCTGCCGGCCGCCATCTTGGCTGACAGTTAATTTGCATATACTCACTGATTAGCCAATGAAAAGGGTAGCGGTCGTACGCTAATTACCATGTTTCTCTTTTATTAGTGTAGATTTTTTATTTGGGGGGAGTATTTTTATATGCACTTAACAGACAAAGCTCAGCAAAATCAGATAATCCTGCAAAGACCACAAGGCTCACAAGAGATATTGAGAAAAGCAATAAGAAAAAAGCAACAAACAGAGGAAACTATCTGGATTTCTAAAAGTCAGTTATTTGCTGGGGTGAGAGAGGAGGTCTGGGAGGAGAGCAGATAAACCAAGATTAGCCAAGGGTTGATAATTGTTGAAGCTGGGTGATGGGTTTCATTATACAATTTTGCCTGCTTTTGCATTCTTAAAAATCTCCAAAATCAAAAGTCAAACAGAACAAAAGAGCTGCTTAAAGGATGTTGACAACATAGCAAATATTACATATAAATAATCTTTTGTTGTTCATAGAAAAGATGGTAAAGTTTTACAAACGGAGGAAGAACCAATCTTTAATTCCAGAGAAGTTTATCAAAATGTACCTGGGTAGTGATTACACATGACATGCAGCTTAACCTCTGCTCCTCAGAATGGGAACGGGTCCACTCCCTAGACTGTATCTTGGACAGTGAGTTGCTTCAGAGATTCTAGTTACTACCTGTATTATTTCTGCTAACTAGATTGAAGGTTTATATTGTGGGATATATCAGAAATGTTACTCATGTTACTTTTGCCCTATTTGTAAGGTTTTCTAATGTTATCAAGAATTAGAAGAAGACAGTGACTCTTACAGATGGGAGAAAGAATATTTTACTACTGAAAAGTATTGCTTTGCTTAAAAGGTTAACTTTAATTGAGACAGAGATAAAAGCTTTTATAGAAAGAATGACAAGCAGGTAAAATTACCTCCACTGCTGTGGGCCATTGTTAGGGCTTCCAAAGAAATTGCTGGAGTTACTTCTAGCTGGCAGATCATTACTTTGGCGCTGCTAATGGCATTGGCTGCTTCTCTCAGGTCTTCAGTATTCAAAAGTAAATTTGCTCCAGCCACTATCACGATGATATTCTGGCCTATAAAGAATTTCTATATTAATATAATGTTAAAATATAGGAAAGCCAAGCAGTGATATTCTGCAATGTTACAGTCACTCTTACAAAGTCATTACATGAAAAGTGTTGTATTAATTTTAACATTTCTAGGCCATTCAGGTTAATTTTCAAATTCCTAATGTATTTTACAATATTTATGTAACATGATTCATATTCTGATCATTTTGAGCAAAATCTAAAAATGACTTCCTTTATCAGTATTCTTATATACAAAGACTATTAGCTGAGAAATGATATATAACATACATCAAATTTTCTTTTATGGGAAATGGCTGGTACAATGTATGTGGTAAAGACCCTTAATCCTGCCATAGCCAGTTTGGCTCAGTAGATAGAGTATCGGCCGAGGACTAAAGGGTCCCAGGTTCGATTCTGTTCAAGGGCATGTACCTCGGTTGCAGGCTCTATCCCCAGCCCTGGTCAGGGTGTGTGTGGGAGGCAACCAATGGATGTGTCTCTCTCACATCAATGTTTCTCTCTCCGTGTCTCTTCCCCTCCCTTCCACTCTCTCTAAAAATCAATGGAAAAATATCCTCTGGTGAGGATAAACAACAGCAACAACAGCAGCAGCAACAACAACAACAACAACAACAACAACAAAAGATTCTTAATCCTAAATGACAGTGTCATAATGATGAGTATAAACAGGAAGAAACTTGCCTAATGCTAAAAACTAATGCTCTGTAGTATGCGAAAAGTTTGAGGTGGACCCTATAGTATTCTGAAAAGTGATTTTGTAAGTCAAACCATATTCTGCAATATCTAGCAGATGAAAAATTGCACTAAATAACTTAAGGTAGAGAGAAGGATATTTGGTCTAGTCTGTACCAGATCAAATAGCAGCAGGACTCAGGAATCTTATACAGGGCGGGGCCAAAGTAGGTTAGAGTTGTCAGTATGTGAAACACAGAGTTTATTCTTGTATTATTATTTATTAGGTATTGTATTATCTTGCATACGATCAGCTTTAAACCGACTTTTGCCCTACCCTGTATACCCATCACTTGGACCTAAATGCGGGAGGTGTGGTGGTACATTTCTTCTGTTAGGTGAACTCTCAAGAGCTGTGCTGCCCGATATGACAGTAAGAAGCACAAGCCACATGTGGCTACTGAGCGCTTGAAATGCATTAGTTCAAATTGAGATTCGCTTTAATTGTACAACACACAGAAGATTTCAAGGGCTGACTGAGTACAAAGAAAAGGTAAAATATTTCATTAATTTTTAAGAACTTTTTGATTTCATGTTGAAAGGATAATGTTTTGGATATATTGGGTTAAGGGAATATATTAGGATGAATTTTACCTGCTTCTGTTTACTTTTTAAAGTGTGGCTAATGGAAAACTTAAAGTTGCGCATGTAGCTTGCATTGTGTTTCTATTGGACAGTGTTGATCTAGTGGGATGAATTGCAGGAGTACTTTTTGGTGCCGCAGGCTGCTCGTGCTGCTCTTGTACAGACATGACCTAAAATTACCTCCGAACACAGAACACATGCTAGCCTATCATCTTACCACAGATGTGTTTGTTGGCCACAAGGAGGATTTAATAAAGTGGGGATGGGTTCAGCGTAAACCCAATCTCGGTGCTGGAAAAATTCAAAGTACCCACACACTGAAAGACAGCTTACCTCCTTCCCTTTCTCCTCAGTGACCTCACTCTCTGCTAGAGTCAGCTGCTGCTTCGGTGTTGCTGACTCCTGAATCCGCATTTCTGGACTGGCCGTGGCTGATGAGCAACAAGCCCAAGACACCACTCTATGGGGGGCACTGCCGTGTGGCTAGCTCACCCATGCCTCCGCTTTAAAGTATAAAAACTGAATTCTCTGCTTGACCTTGCTACTCACTCATTTAAAGAAGCCACTCTGAGTATTTGGATTAGCTCTTCTACTACCACCTATACTCTTAAAAAAATTTTTTTTTTTATTATTGATTTAAGAGAGGAAGGGAGAGGGAGAGAGATCGAAGCATCAATGATGAGAGAGAATCATTGATCAGCTGCCTGCTGCATGCCCCCAACTGGGGATCAAGCCAGTGACTCGGGCATGTGCCCCGACCAGAAATTTAGCCATGACTTCCTGGTTCATAGGTTGACACTCAACTATGCCACGCCATGCCAGCTGGGCACCACCTATACTCTTAAGGGCATTACCATACTCTATAAACAGACATAATAGGTACTTGATACAAAATATTAAATTATATTTTTGCACAAAAATGCAGTATTTTGTACCAAGACAAGGAAGAAACATAACTCAAAGATATCCCTAGGACACAAAAAAGAGGTTTAAGGCAGGGAATGAGCTGCTGTTGGCAGCAATAATCACTTAAGAGGTAGCTTACAGTAATGAACACTGACTATTGTTAGAATGAAAACTTTTATTGACTGTCTTTAAGTGGGACACTGCAACTTTGGGATCACTAAAGGTAAAAATACTATGTCTTCTGTGAGAAATGATCTTGTGAAACTGCAATATAAGTTAAAAACATATTGTGACAAATCCTAAGCTAACACAGTGCATGCTGACTGCCCATAATGCTCTAGGTTCTGTCGTAGGTGCCCCATAAAATGCTTGGCCATTCTAAATATTAATTCTGATTTTTAAAATTGTATGGTAGTGTTTTTATACTAAAAATAGTTGGCAGAAATCATAAAAACTTTACTTGAGGGCAAAGGGAAGTTACTCTTTTCAAAGACAAATGTCTCACTATTGGAAGGCCTTGTGACAGACACAGTTGTATATATAGACTTTTGAGATTTGATTGCCGTTTAAAGAGCAGACAAAATTGAACACTAACGACATGTTAGAAGTAATTAGTTGCTGCCATTTGCTCAGTAAATATTCTATAAATATGATTCATCAACTTTCTTTTGCACCTATCTATTTACATTTATTTACCTGGTGTAACTGAAATGACAGATGAATACTTAACTGCTTTTAGAGACAAATATCAATTCTGAGTTCACATGAAGGGAAATGGGGTGTTACAGGATATAAAGATTATTTTGAGGCAACTATATAATGCTTCATATGTATTAGATGGACAATTTTATATTTGAATGAGCAGCCTGGGATGTACAAGTAAGGGAAACATTTATATTTAGGCTGGAAAGACCATGCTGTAGGCCTGGTGGGTATGGTAAGAGATCCATAAGATTAGGATAAAAACTGATGCTTCTGTTCTAGTTCTGGAAATGCACTGTTTTACGAAACGACACTTCAATATGCAAAACACATACCTTCTTTATTGACAATTATAGAAGCAGTTCCTGTAGCAGCATCTTTAGTTTGATATGTAAATTCTAAAGGAAAAAAAATTACAATCACGTATACACAGCCTGGCTTGGATAATTTATTTTAACAATTTCAATGCACCACTAATCCTTAGAAAACTTTTTAATCTTTTTAACCATCTGGAATGATAAAAAAGAAATAAGTAATTAGTGCTAATTTATACTCATCACCTATACAATAAGGAAAACACAAGTCTTTCTACTTAGTTGCACCTTTTCTTTACATTAGTAACAATCTAACAAACCACCCTGCTTCCAATTCCCCCAAATTATTCATAGTTGTATGCATATGCATTTCCCTGCACTACCATATTTCTTCAGTGAAAGAAATGACAAACTTGAGTGAAAGACTAAAGGTCAAACCTATAAAATCAACCTGTTTGTTTTTCTTCATTCTCATAAGCTTTGCATCTATCTCATCAAGAATTATGGTCTGGCATGTAAATGGTGATGTTGACCAGGCAGCCTTCGGCAGCAGCAAAGAGCCTTGAACTGGGGCCAAAGACCCGCATTCTGGTCCTGGCTGTAGCTCCAACTAGCTGTGCTCTTGGACAAAGTCATAACCTCTCTGGCCTTCGGTGTTCTCTCTTATGAAATAACTAGAGGCCCAATGCATGAAATTCATGCAAGAGTAGTCCTTCCTTCCCCCAGCTGCCTGCATCGGCTTCCCTCTGGCACCCGGGACCCGGCTTCTTCGTCAGGAAGGTCATCCGGAAGGATGTCTGGTCTAATTAGCATCTTATGCTTTTATTATTATAGATAGTATCAGATCTCAATGGTTTCTGAGGTCATTTCCAGCTATGATACTTAATGATTTTTCTTAAAATATCTTTTGTGAATGTAGCACCTATTTTCTCTTGTCACCTGCTTTTGAAACATTTCTATGAATTGAAGGTTTGTAACCTATTGTCTGGAGGAATGTACATGAAAGAATTAACCACAGGCTATTTAAGCAAGGCTAGACAAAGCTATGCGTAAAAATTCCCTGGCCACCAGGGGAGGATCTAATAATTCTATTCTATATTCAGCTTTTCTTGTAATCAGATTACAGAAGAAAGTTATAAAAACCAATGTTAAAAAAGATGAAATTTTACCTGTAGAAATATCATTCTGTTTAAAGTTTTCTATGTAATCATTGCCAAAAGAATCTTTGCCAACCTGTACCAAAGAAATGATGAACATTAGATCTTTTGCATTTAGTAAAATGCTATAATGTAGTTTTTAGAATACTTAGCATTTTGAAAGGGCATATCTGCACAGTACTTTATAAACATTAACTAATTAATCTTCTTAATGTACGTTGCTAGACTTGGTTTCAGGCCAAAGAATTGTTATATACTAATGTTCCGCTTATATCCTTCTTAAAATGTGAAGCATTTTAATGATGCTCACCAGTTCCATAGGTTCACTTTCACCTGATCATGTGGAAATTCCCACTGAGACAGGGCTGTCCACCCCCAACTATCCTCAATATTTATGAGGAGTCTCAGTTGTTCATACTTCACTATAAATGACAGGATCTTTGTAATGACTTGCCTGGTGTCTTAGAATCTTCATATCTTCTCCCCGGACCCTGACATGGAGCGCAGGAGGGAATTTAAAAAGCCCTTGCTACCTTAGTATAGTGGAATTTCTTTGTTTTTGCATCCTTGCCTCCATTCTGGTAATGATACTTCAGTTTTTCCTTTAGACATGCATTCCTCGTTCACTCATAGGCAACGTGATCAGAGGGTCACAGTTGTAAAATCAATGAACCTATGTTGACACATCAACCAAACTCCCTAAACTCCATAGTTTACATTAGGGTTCCCTCTGGTGTTGTACATTCTATGGGTTTTGACAAATGTATAGACAAGTACCCATGATTATATTCTCATACAGAATGGCTTCACTGCCCTAAAAATCCTCTCTGCCCTGCCTATTCATCACTGTCTACCCCCCAGCCCCTGGCAACCACTGACCTTTTTTACTGTCTCTATCATTTTATCTTTTTCAGAGTGTCATATAGTTGGAATCATTCCTGAACTATACTTCTATTTTTCTGTCCTGCAGGTGAGCACTACAGCAATGGATTATGTCTCTGTCCAGGTCTCAGCCCCTCCCGGTGTGTTCTGCTTGCCCACAGAAAATTGTTCCTGTCTGGATACATCAATAGAAAGAAACCTAGACATTTACTTGAGTTAAGATCTGCAATGATTGACAATAAAATTTCCTGGTGAGCATGTGGACTGTCTAGATCAGGGATTAGCCACTATTTTTTACTGTGAAGGACTAAATAGGTAATGTTTTATTTATTTATTTATTCTTTATTTTCAAATAGTTAATATTTTATTTTATTTATTTATTTTTTTAAATATATTTTATTGATTTTTTACAGAGAGGAAGGGAGAGAGATAGAGAGTCAGAAACATCGATGAGAGAGAAACATCGATCAGCTGCCTCCTGCACATCTCCTACTGGGGATGTGCCCGAAACCCAGGTACATGCCCTTCACCGGAATCGAACCTGGGACCTTTCAGTCCGCAGGCCGACGCTCTATCCACTGAGCCAAACCGGTTTCGGCAAAATAGTTAATATTTTAGACTTTGTGGGCCATATTGCCTCTTATACAACAATTTACCCCTGCCATCGTAGAGTTGGCGGCCAAAGATAATATGTCAACAAAGGGATGTGGCTGTATTCCAATAAAACTTTATTTACAAAAATATGTAGTGGGCAAGATCTGCCCCATGGATCATGTTTGCTGACCCTGATTTAAATGCCACTTTTGTTACCTTATTCTGCAAAAGAACACCTTTCCTTGTGCTCCTTTTCTGGATCCAATGCTGACTAGGCAATAATCTCAAGTAATATGTAGTAACTTCTCCCTAGCAGAATCTCTGTCTTTATAATGAAGTGTCCACTCCAGTGTTGCTGTGGGGAGAGTTCCCTGTGGAAGGAGGCCATCTACCAAAAGTTTCCTTCCCGGAAGGCTGGCTGTTCCCTTGTCTGGCAAGTAAGTGCCAAAGCATCCTATTTCCTAGGTCAAAGGTTCACACCAGAAGACTCTTGAGAGCTGAGCCAAGTTCTCTCATCTTTTTTTTACATTATTTAACTCTTTCCCATGGGCAATCAGGGTATTATATAGTTGGGAAAGTATCATTATAAGAATGTTCTGGGGTTGAGAAAAGGCCATCCCTAGGCATGTGGGGCGTGATACACACTAAAGCAAAGAAATTTCTCTTCCCTTTCCTATCAGTTTTATAGGGAAAGATCTGTTGAAGGGACTATCAAGGGCAGGTAATAAATGGTGGTGATGATATAAACACTAGCAAGTGCAGGGGTTAGGAGGAATTGTTTCGTTGCCCTCGAGAAACTGATACTATTGGAGGGAAATCAGACAGACCAGGTGGAACAGCATGAGCATCAGAGGCATAATTGGGAAGGATTTCATGCTCAGGTAATTGCATTTGCAGACTTGCTGTAGTTGTATTTTAGAGGCTGCGGCAGCTGCCTGTCTTCTTCCGGCTCAGGGCACCGTCTGATTGGCTACATCCCTGGGTGATGGTTATGGTTCCAGCTTTATTTTGGTAGTGATTTCCTAGCAAATCTGTTGGCTGGTCTTCTAAATTCTATGTGAGACATGGGACAAAATACTGTGTTTTTGCCTTCTTTGATATTCTCTTGTCAAAAAATAAAAATCTGGTAACTAAAAAATAATGGAAAAGTAACAAGACTGCTGAGGATTAAGAGAAGTCAACTGAAGCTCCATTAACTTTACATCACCCAGGTCATTACAAAGTGAAAGAAGTGATGAAAAGCCTGGGAATGGGAAGACAATATTTCCTTTGTGTCATGGAAGCCCCTCACGCTAGCTGTGTGGTTTTGGGCGAGCCGCTTTAATTCTCTGTAGGCTCAGTGTTCTTATCTGGAAAGCCACAGCAAGTTTGCTGTGAAGATAAAGTAAAATAATGTGCATAAAAGTACGTTTAGAGCTGTTCAGGATTATCATAAAAGATGAAAGAAAAATACATAAAATTCTCGTTTTGGGCTTGGTGCCTTCATCATTATCATCTTCATCATCGTCATCATCATCGGGCTGCTTCTCTTGGGGGAAGGGGCTCCTGCTGCTTGGATTCAGTCTCATAAACTACTTTCATGTCCATCTTGTTCTCCCTGATGCTTCAGTTCTTCCTGTGGCTTCTTATTTTCAAACAGGAGAGCATTTGATCATGGAAGCAAGCATGTGGGTACATTAAATAATTTTTAAAATGAGACTGTATTTATTACTGTTATTGTTCTAATAAAAACATAACATCTCCGTTAATGGTTTGGTGCAACGAATGCTGTTCAACGTATCCTGCTACTTTCCTGAGAATAATATAGCCAACTGGGAGGGTATCTCTGCCTTGGGAGTAATAGTTAAGCTTTATGTAGAACTAAATTACATATGAAAATGCGGACAAAAAGCAATGGGGATCTGAGTCCTATTTAAAAGGGTCCTCTTTTTCTTTTGCATTACAGAGTTGCACAGATGACATGTGCAATTTGTACTAAAAGAATGCTACCTTCCCTGTGTCCCCACCCTCAACACCTCTCACACATTCATGTATTTTTCCGGACTTATTTTTAAAAAGGCTGTGAGAAGTAAACACCGTCCAGTCCCATTTGCTTGCTTCTGACTCTAATTTAAGCCTCTTCCCCAGTAACTGGAAATCGATAACCAGCGTCAGAGGAGCAGAACCCAAGCAAGGGTGTCGTTCACAGTCTGCCATTGAGAGCGAGAGCAAGTGTCTCGAAAAGCACAGTGAATGATACGAATGAAAGAACCTGGACAGAACAAGGACTATTATAAAGGAACCTTCATGGGGATCTTTGGAGGCTTCCCTGTTTTCCTGGTCACACGTTGGCTATCAAGTTGATATGAAAACTTTAAGTATCTTGGTCATGAGGCAGAATGGTGCATATGGAAGTCAGGAAACCTGGAATCTAATTTCAGTTCTGCTGTTACCAAGCTAATTAAAATTCTTTCCTACGTTTTGGGGCAAATTGTTCCATCTGAGCCAAGCTGTAGGGTGGGACTGGTTGGTGTGAGTTATCTCTGGCAGGAAGGAAACCAATAATTCTCAGCCTTAGCTGCTCATCAGTATCTCCTGAGAAGCTTGGAAACATCCCGATGCTCAGGGTACACCCCAGACCAATTGAATCAGGCCTCTGCAGGTGGGACCGGGCACGCTCCCCAGGTGATTACCATGTGTGAACTCCAGTCGAGGGTTGGACCGCTGATTGCAGGATTAAAGTGGGAGGTGTCTGTAGACTGAGGCTTGTGTGCACAGAAGAAGTGAAGAGAGAGGGCACAGTCCTGCCTGGCACTAGGTTGGTAAGTCCCCTAAGTGGGAGCACGGGGGAGTGTGACCTGCAGAATCTGCTGGGGGCGAGGAGCCCATCAGGGTCCAACATTGGGATCAAGGTATTGTGAAGCCCGAGAGATTTCCTTGGCTTGTGTTTGCTGACTAGTCTCATTTTGACGTGGCCCAGGCTTCTTCCACCTCTAGCCTTCTAAAGCAGCGGTTCTCAACCTGTGGATCAAGACCCCTTTGGCGGTCGAACGACCCTTTCACAGGGTTCGCCTAAGACCATCCTGCATATCAGATATTTACATTACGATTCATAACAGTAGCAACATTACGGTTATGAAGTAGCAACGAAAATAATTTTATGGTTGGGTCACAACATGAGGAACTGTATTTAAAGGGAGCGAAGGTTGAGAACCACTGTTAAAGCTCATATTTGGCAAAACTAGTTGGGTTTATGTTTCTCAGAGTGTTCGGTAGAGGCGCTATTACGTTGACATTATCATCTGACTGTGTTAAAACGTTATGTGGATACGATATATTCACGACTGTATCCTTGCCTTCACTTCTGAGGACTTAGAAGTCCTTTCCTCTCTCCTCCACTTCATCAAACCTCACTTGTTTTTTCAAGCATCAGCGTAAGGCCTACCTTTCCTATTTACCCCTTGTTACTCTTATTTCCAGAATTCCTATAGCCTTCTTCATGGATGCTATGTAATTAAGCATTTAATTGAATACCATCTTATATCGTTTGCCTAAATAATCTTCCTTGAAGTCTAGTCTTTCTAGAAGCTTATTGGCGACCTTAGCTTAGCATACATTTAT